ATGACCTCGGCGGCTCAGACCGGATACAATGCTCAATGCTAAGACATTTTTGAAACCTTAGCTTTTTACCGGGATTTTGAAACTTCTTCATATAGACCTGTGTCTGGAGTGCTTAACCCGCGCCCCGTAGGGCTACCGGCGGACCCTACCACCCGTAGGGGGGGGGGGGCCGTATCGCCCCCCCCCTAAGATCTCGGAAAGTTACCGGCCGATTTTCGAAATTCAAACGGCGTTCGATAGCCCCACCCGGAAACTACCTTGTGACCAAATTTCATTGACCTAGGTCAAACCGATGACGTCACAGGTCAGGTCAAAGGTCAGATTTTCACCGTTCACAGGCAATTCAAGAAATGTGCTGTGAAAGCGAGTAAATTGGTAATTTATTGAAAACCATCGATGGTACATTGTTCGTCAAACACATACTTTGCTATCTGAGGTCACTGATACCAGGTCAGGTCACAGCGAGGTCAGGTCACCGGGGGTCACAATATGAATGTGTCGTGTGATACATGTTTTATGGTCCATTTTACATGACAAATGCGATTATGTGGGTTAGGCAGCCTTTGGGGCCAGCCTAGGTCACGTTTTTGTGAAGGTCAGGTCAAGGTCAGGTCAAATTAGGTCAAATTTCAAAGTTGATATTTTTGCATAAAATGGGTATCGATTCGATGCAGCTCGTCCCGGGGAGTCTAATGGTGGTCTTCGTTTTGCTCTACAAGTTCTAGAATTGCAAAAAAATTGAGTTTGAAAATTTGACGTCATCATTTTTGAACAGTTTTTTCGCTATAACTTGGCCAAAAAACGAGGTATCGATCTGAAATTTGGTATGTAGATAGAAGATGGTAGGCACTATCACATATATTCCGGTTTTTTCGAAACTCAAAAAACTCTTTGGATTTTTTGGCGAATATATCCAAAAAAATGTTTTTTTTTATTTTTGGGGGTCAAAACTCAAAAATTTCAAAAATTCGAGATAACAGTTTTGTAGCCCTGTCAATTCTACACCTTTTATGTATTGATCGTTTTTCTGTATCTTCAAAGCTGTAGTCCTGACAGGTCTTCTCGCGAAGGTCTTTTTTCGGTCGAAAATGACAGAACATGACGTCACTCTGACGTCATTTGTGGCCAACCTATCATAGCCTCTGGAAAAATTTTTGGTCACAATGTGCAAAATTGATGCCTGGAGGGGTCCTGAAAGTTTGGTGGCGATATCTCCAGCCGTTTAGGAGATATCGACCGAAAAGGACAGGGGGGGCCGTTTCGGCCCCCCCCTACGGGGCGCGGGTTAAAGAGTGGAAACACCAGCGCTGTCACAAGCACACGCTTGGTTCACATGGAATGCAGCTCTGTATTATGGCGAGGCCGACCAGAATACAGCAGCATCGTCTGAAGATAGTCGAGACATGCTGCTCCCATGACATGGGCACGAGTCGACGGTATCGCCCAGAATTTTAGCCAACTGCACAACAATCTGAGTTGCGAAATAGTACCATTACCATGAATTTTGCATCTGTATTTTCCACGATTATTTGAGGGCTCCATGCTTTGAGGACGGCATGAGCTATCTTAAGTGGACCATTTTAGCACGAGGAACAATGTGTTTTGCAGACGGTTACTTGCCGTGCTCTGAGCGCCCAGCCACCATTCAACGTTACCAGCAAGTGCTCTGGGCACCCAGACGTTTATCCATGTACCAGTTAGTGTTCCAAGCACCCAGCCAGTTCACCCGCTTACCCGTCGGTGCTCCGTGCTCCCGGTCACCCGGTTACCTGTCGGTGCTCCGTGCTCCCAGTCACCCGTTTACCAGTTGGTGCTCCGTGCTCCCGGTCACCCGGCTACCTGTCGGTGCTCCGTGCTCCCGGTGTTACCTGTTCGTGCTCTGGGCAGCTCCTCTGTGGGTATCCGCCGCGTCCGGAGGCCCCCGTCCGAGAGCCGTCGGCGCGCACTCCTCCGCGTTATGTACGGCGGTGTGCCGCGTCATTGGCGTCACCTAGGAAACGTCTCGGCATCCCGGGTGCCGCACATCACTCAACTATGCTGACACGCCAGAGACTGATGGGCTCCCGAAGTCGGCAGTCTCGACTGACATCTGTTCACTGGTGGCATTGCAGACGATATCCTCGTCAATCGTCCCCTGTTGTTTTTATTCCTACGAAACTATCACATCAACTTGCTATATTTTATATGTACTTTATAGTACATATATGATTGTGCACACGTATTTCACACTTTTTCTATTACCTATCCATGTTCTTAACATAAAATCTGCTGTTTACCACTCGCCGAAGCTGTCACGCAGTTTTCTAGGTAGGTACAGGTCTCGCGGGTTTTAGCGGTAGGTTTTGCACATAGAAAATCTAGTGTATTTCAGGCTATATCTTCGTCGTCTTAACCCGCGACCTGGTGGGGGGGGGGCTATTTTTTGCCCCCCTCCAGACTTTTCGATATATCTCCAGAACCGCTGCGCCGATCGTCACCAAACTTTCAGTACCCTCCCGGACATCAATTTTACACATGGTGACCAAAAATTTTTCCAAAGGCTATAATAGTTTGGCCAGAAAAGACGTCAGAGTGACGTCATGTTCTGCCGTTTTCGACCCAAAAAAGGGTTTCGCGGGAAGAGCTGTCAGGCCTATAGCTTTGCAAATACAGAAAAATGATAAGGGCATAAAAGCTGTAGAATTGACAGGGCTACAAAACTGCTATCTCGGATTTTTAAAATTGTTTGGATTTTGACCCCCAAAAATCAAAAATAATTATTTTGGAAATAATGATCGAAAAATCCAAAAAGTTTTGAATTTCGCAAAAACCGGAATATATGTGATAGTTCTCACCGCCTTCCATCCACATACCAAATTTGAGATTGATACCTCTTTTTTGGCGAAGTTATAGCGAAAAAACTGTTCAAAATTGATGACGTCAAATTTTCAAACTCAATTTTTAGCAATTCTAGACCCCGTAGCGCAAAACAAAGACCATCATTAGACTCCCCGTGACGAGCTGCATCGAATCAATACCCATTTTATGCAAAACTATCAACTTTAGAATTTGACCTTTTTGGCCTGACCTTGACCTGACCTTGACCTGAGCTTGACCAGAAAGTGACCTAAGCCGTACCTGATAGTCTTATAACCAACACCATTGAGTTGGAAATGAAAAATTGACCACAAAACATGCATCACACAACCTTAGTAAAGTTGGGCTCATGTGACCTGACCTGTGACCCTTGGTGACCTGACCTGTGACCTGACCTGGTATTGTCAGTGACCTCTAATAGCAACATATCTACTAGGCAACTGACGCCCTATCGCTGATTCTCGACAAAATGCGTTTTCCTCGGTGTTATAGCGCATTCCCTAGAAGACCCGTGAACGGTGAAACATTTCATCTTTGACCTGACCTGTGACGTCATCGGTGACCCCGAGGTCAATGAAAATTGGTTTCCTTCGACAAATTTGACAGGCCTTTCGAACGCCGTTTGAATTTTGCGGATCCGTCCAGTAGTTTCGGAGATACGAGGGGGGGGCAAAAAATAGCCCCCCCCCCCCTGCAGGTCGCGTTATAAACAGACCCCACCAGGGCGCGGGTTAAGCATTTAAGTGTTGAAGATGCGATCGACTTGTTGGTTCACAAGCCGACCATGATCGTTGAAAATGGCTTCATCGTAGATCGATTAGTTTCTGAGATATAACCGGAAATGTAAAAGTGCAGAACCTACCGCTTTATCTCGCGAAAGCCGTACCTACGTCTCGGCCGGGAAGAATGGATCCCAACTCTTTGTGTCTCTTCTAATTTGAGCTAGAAGTTGGCGGAAGAATAAGGAAAGGCGTCGTTACGAGGTAGGGAGACTGACATTCAGTTTTAACGCCTCAGGTCAAACAGTGATCTCTGGGGTCAAGTCAACTGCCACAAAGAAGATGTTAATTTTTGTTGAGTACCATCGCCAAAAAATGGGCATAAAACCGCGACTTTGATACCCTCGTGTGCTTCATGCCAAAGGCGCGTCAAATGATGTACATACCTACTTCTGTATGAGAGAGTCAGTCTAGGATGTTGACCTCAGTTCAAGGTTAGGTCAATCAAGCCACAATCCTGGCCCAAGGAAGTGACTTTGAATATCTGTGGTTTTGCGAATCTTTCCGGGTCCATTCGTGGCATTCTTGCATGGTTAGCCAGCTTAACTGGATCGCGAATCTTTGACGGAAAACTCTAATGGCCTTATTGGTGTCATATATGACGTCACACATGTTCAACGATTCATGTCATACGTTAAGCACTAAGCTTGCAAACATTTGCAAAGGTGTATGGAATCACATTTCCTCGTGCTATAGATAGTCTCAAATCATCATCATGTAGTGCCAAATAATTGTTTATGTACTATGTAGGTACTTCCCCATGGTCGTGCGCACGTACCTAAGGACACGCGACCGACCTGACCTGGCGTGACCTTTTAAAACTCCGAGAAATACAATTTGTGAGTGCTCGGGAGGTAAATGTGTCCTTTCCATTTCATCTCCCTGCCAAAGATTCCCTGTGATCATAAGCCCCAGCTCTCCTTTTGCCTTTTGCTCGACGGGACCCATAGGCCGAGTTGCCTCTTATCCCGATGACCAGCTTAGGTGAGGTAGAGACTAGTCGGCGTTTAGGCAATTATTATTGATTGGTCCAACGGTAAATGCAATCGGAAAACGGCTTTCGGACAGTAACAATCGCTATTTATATCGATTTTTTTTTACAAATAAGTTTGACTTTTTTACCAAAGTGGGATTGGCGGTTAACGGTGTGTTTCATGACGTTCAAATCAGTTGTAACTAGCATTTTGCGAGCTCGTTACGATTGCCACGCCGTCTCACGCAGACAGGGCCGTTTATCGCGCCTGTCGCAGTTCCGACTCCGGCCGATAGATGGCTCTGAGGCGGTGGGCCGCGGGCGGCGCTCCCCGCCGGCGGCGGTCAGCCGGCCGGCCCGGGCCACGCCGCCGCCGCCACCGCCGCCGCCCCAGTGCCGCGCGAGTGGGGAGGAGTGGTGAGTGTTAGTCGCGGCCCGGCTGTGCTCCAGGGGACGGTCAGTGCTCCTCTGTGGCGGGACTACAGGGCTCTGCTGCCCCGCACAGTGCCATAAGACAGCAGCGGGAGGCGCACCGACCCGAGCTCGTGTGAATGGACGAGGACGCACCGCCAACCCTATTCGGTGAGTCTCTGTGTCGCGCAGCAAATGGACATAAGATATCACTCACACTGCCCTTGTGGCACCCTTTAACTCCCCTTCCCGCCAATAATCAATTATCAGTTTGTTCACTTGGTGGGTGGGGTGGGACTTGGTCGCTTATGAGCTTTTTTTTTTTAAGAGTACCTGTGTCGATTTTTTTTTTATTTTTTATATATATATATTTTTATTTCAACATTACATAGCTGTGTGTCCGTAGCGGAATTGTGCACACGTTGCACCACACCACACACTACACACATGTACACACGTACACATCATACATAGTATACCCTTAATTTAAAAAAAAACATAACATCAACATGACTAAAAACATTATTAAAATTATGCAGCCCACCTGGCCCGGCCGGGCGGTGATTAACCCCCGGCATTCACCGCCCGACCCCGGGGAGATCTGGGGGATACCCCCCCCCCCCGGCCGGGGAGATCTGGGGGATACCTCCCCGGCGCTCCAGGCGGGCCGCCCCCCTCCCCCCCCCCCCGCATCGCCGCGCATTTCTGCGAGGCGGTGTCCCAGTCCAACGGCCCGGCCCGACAGTCACGGCGCCGGCTGGCCGGGAGGGCGGGGGCCATGCGCAAAGCGCATATCCCTACTCCTAAACCTACTCCTACTCCTACTCGCTTATCAACGCCTCTTTCGCCCGCTCCCATTTATCCTCAAAGTGTTTCCGATCACCCTTACACACCGCAATCATTCTTTCCAGCTCTCGGTCAGCACAAAGCCACCTGATCACTTCATCCAGGTTCAACCTCTCCCTATTTCCAATAACCATTTTACCTACTATAACTACATGATTAAAGAGGGTCGTCTTACCCAGGCCCAGTAGCACAGTCTTCGCATTAAATTCAGAACCTTCTTGCATAATTCGATTTGTAAGCATCCAATTTTTAATAGATTCCCAGAAAATCTGAACAACGGGGCAAAACCAAAATTTGTGTTCAATGCTATCTTCTACTTCGTAACACCTCTTACAATTTATAGATTCAACCACTCCAATCCGATGTAGCAATCGTTGAGTAGCACATGTTCTTGTAATTATTTTATATTGCGCACTGCGATAACGCATAAAAATCGAGGCTAATTTGTTATTGGTATAAACTTCACTCCATGCGACCTCCCTAAACATCGCACTCCACTTACATTCCCATTTATGTGCATGGCTTTTAATCTGTTTCTGCATCAACTTCCAATAAATGTGTTTTGATCCTTGTGATTTGGAAACTATAAAAGACAAGCATGGGTCTATAAGAGGTCCAATTAGCTTAGTTTTGTTGGCTGTCTTCCAGGTTCTCGGTAAACTATTCACCAGACAATCATAGTCAAATTGCACACCTTCTATTCCATATTGAATTTTCATCTCCTCAAATGACATAATATTACCGTCTGCGTTCAGTAAATCGTTCAAATAATGTATCCCCTTAGAATACCACTCGTTGATTCTGCTAGTGCAAAATTTGCTTAAGTCAGAATACCAAAGCGTGCTTGCGGCCATTTCATCTAATGAGTAATCTCCATATGCATCTTTTAAGTCTGCTACTGCTTCCATAACCTCGCACCAGAAACGACTATATGACACCCGTCTACTGAAATTTCGCAAAGACACTGCATTTCTATCCCAGATGCAATTCTTCTGACCTATTTTACTTTCAAAAATTTGTATCCACTGGCTATCAGACTGCAACATTCGCCTAACCCACGCAATTTTCAACGACTTAAGGTACAGCCCTCAGCAGACTGCGTGGTAGGTATTCTTTTTCCGACAAAACTGATAATAATTCAAAAGTCATGTTATCAGTCGGTCGAAACTCACTGCAAATAGATGCGCCATGCTCCACTCCTTCGATAGGGCCTATCAATAAACAAAGCATACGCCTTGTGCGGCAACAAAATGTAAAAGTTCGTTTTGGTGGCAAATCTAAACTTTTGGGTTTTGTTGCTAAACTGGATGGAAAATGCATACGATGATAATGCCAATCTAAGCTGCGGAGTCTCGCGCATCTTGCTGTTACGATTTCCGAGTGCCCGATAGCATAGTGTTCGCGTTATTCTCGGTTTTGTCGAAAAAAGAATACCTACCACGCAGTCTGCAGAGGGCTGTACAGGTTGACGTCTATCATTCCAGCTCCTCCATATTCTATCGGTTGTACAAGACTCTTCCTACTTATCTTATCTCGCTTCCCGTTCCATACAAAATTGAATAGAATCGTATTTAACTCTTTCAAAAAATCAGGCGATGGATTCGGTAGTGCCGCGAATAAATGTGTCAGTTTAGGTATTATTAGACTTTTTATTACACATATTTTCCCGTATATGGTTAGGTATCTTTTCTGCCAGTCTTTAATAGTCGCATGAATTTCTCCCTTTTTCCTTTCAAAGTTATTATTGGTCATTTTCTGGATATCATTTTCGTAAATGATTCCAAGAACCTTTATCTGTTTCGTCCATTTAATCGGAAGTTCTTCACAGATCTTTGCTTTATTCTGTACATCATAACCTACCCACATAGCCTCGGTTTTAGTTATATTCGGGCGCAATCCAGAGAACTTCGCGAACACTCCTAGGTCATGAAAAAGGCATCTGCAGCTGTTGACAGAGCCATCTAAGAAAAAGAGGGTATCATCCGCATAACATGATACTTTGTTCTCTACGTCACCTATTGCAATTCCACGAATATTCTTGTTTTGCCTCACAAGTGAAGCTAAACACTCAATGGCCAACAAGAAAATATAAGGACTTACAGGGTCCCCCTGTCTACAGGATCTAAGCAGTTTAACTTTGTTAGACAAATGTCCATTGTATATAATTCTTGCATATGTCCCCTCATTCATCAAATGAAACCATCTAATGGATTCTGCAGGGAAGTTATACTTATCCAGAGCGGCGCTAATAAATTTCCAGCTTAGTGTGTTGAACGCCCCTTCAATATCCAGACTCAAAAAGATCCCGGAACGTCCTTCATGTTCGAAATACGTCATGATATCACTCATCAACCGCGTATTGTCTCCGATAAATCGACCTTTAATGAACCCAGTCTGTGCTGGATCTACTAACTTCCCTACCACTTGTTTGTATCTATTTGCTATACAAGCGGATAAAATTTTATAACTTGTGTTCAAGAGCGTAATAGGTCGATATGAATTGATCAGGTTCCTGGGTTTCCCACCCTTCGGTATCAAAGTTATGATACCTTCTCTTAATGACGGTGGCATGACTCGTGACGTGAAGCAAGACGACAACATCCTCATCACAATAAATTTTAGATCTATCCAAAAGAATTTATAAAACTCTGCTGGAAACCCGTCACTACCTGGCGACTTATTGTTTTTCATTGCATAAAGGGCGTGTCCAGCCTCCTTCAATGTCAACGCTACTTTAATATGGTCTATATCGACCTTAGTAAGTTTTTGAAGTTCTACACAGTTCAAAAATTCAAGCGGATCGTCTTCCGTGTCGTGTGACCGAAACATCTCGCTGAAATGACGCTCTACCACGCTAAGAATTTCATTTTGATTTTGAACTGTCTCGCCATCATCTGTCTGCAAACACGGTATTAATTTGCTAACGTAATTGCGTTTTTCCAGACCCAAGAAATACTTGGTCGATCTCTCCCCTTCTTCAAACCATTGCACCCTAGATCGGGTTATGTTCCCACTCATCAAAATTTGTCTATGCTCTTCTAGTTTTCCCTGAGCATCCGCCAGTTCACTAGCCGTTTCACGGTTAGGATTACTATTCATTGTTTGCTCAAGTTGAGATACTGCAAGTTCTAATACCATTCCCTCTCTTCTGTAATGTTTTGCCTTTTTAATTCCATAAGTTATAGTTTCTGTTCTGAGATTTAAAATTAGCACCTCAAACAAAAGCGAATCACTTATAGTGAATTGCACGTCACTGAAATATTCAGTACTTATAACTGACTGCAGAAATTCATGCGAGTATACGGGTAAGGCATAGTCTATGATTGTATTTACTATAGTTCGCTTTATTAAAGTGGAGTATTCTTGATCCCGCAATAAAGAACAATTAAACTTAAATAAACCTCTTCCTCTATCTTGGTTCGCGAAGTTCAGCGTTAAACAAACCATAGAATGGTCGGTTCTATAACCTGGAACAATAGTAGCCTCAACTGTCACCGCACACAGTTCCTCTGATATAACAAAGAAATCAAGTCTGGCCTGTTTGATCTCGGGATTGATAACACGCCATGTATATTGCCTTTCGTCAGGATTACGCCTCCTGTATATATCTACCAGGTTTCTCTTTTTAAGAATTTCCAAAACTTTGCCTCTCGCTCTAGGGTGATTACTGCGCCTATACCCGTACGTATCTAGTCCCTGATCCATAACTAAATTCCAATCACCAGCAATAATAATTGGGAGATCGTTATAGTCTTCAAGTATTCTATCTATGTTGCTGAAAAACATTGGATTGTCCGTATTTGGCGCATAAATGTTCACCACGATAAGCTGGTACACTTTATCAATAGTAATTTTTGCTATTATAAAGTTTCCATCTCTATCATATGTCACATTACTGTACTCAACTTCAACTCCGTGAGTCAATATCGCGACCCCTCTAGCATTATGTGTGTATGGCGCTATTAAAATGTCTTTACCCCAACTATTTCTGAATTCGTTCTGTTTGTCAGCTTTGCAGTGTATATCCTGAAGAAGAAGAATATTATATCCATCTTTCCTTAATTTATTGAACACATCTCTACGTTTTCTGAAATCTGCTAAGCCCCTGCAATTTAGCGAGCAAAACTTCAAATTACTACTTCCCATAATTACTGTCTGAGGTCCAAGCTGTGCCACTGACCCTGGGCGCATCGCCCCTGATCTCTCTTACATATAGCGTTACTATCCTTAATTCTACCGCCTTCTAATAGGCAACAACAACACAATGAAATGAACTGTTCGATACACACATTTAATACAACGTTGCCGCCTAAGTCAAAACAGCA